GCACATAGCTACGGTGATATTCAGAAGCACTCCGATCTAACGTCGCCCCCTCTCTTATGTCCTGTCTATGATCCCGGTCTGCCTTCAATAACTCCCTAAGGTATACATATGAGCATGCATATTCTAGTTCCTCCAACATTGATTCCATAGGGAGCTACAATGATTTCACAATATTTTTCCACGGAAACTTTCACTACTCTACATGGTCAATAGGCCTGATTAGGTACGTCTTCATGCTAAGTATATGGTACAGTATTTACATGAGATGGATGTGACTGTGATTCTCGTATTGTAAAATGTTTTAGCACTAAAGTTAGGACTGGACTTAGGAATGGACGATCGGGGCGGCTAGTCATGGGCGAAAATCTGTAATGGAAAATAATGAGGGCATCGCCATGGGCAAATAGACACAGAAATAGGCAGTGAGAGACATAGGAGTAAAGCGAGAAACAAACACAACAACAATAACTGTCATTCGCCAAAAAGTGGCGGTGACGTCACCATGACGCTTGTGCCAGGCTATGTGCACCTTGAGGCAACGTGAAGAGTCGAAAGCCCGCTGGCAGGAGGTCACGGGGCAGACCTAGATGCCACGGGTCTACTGACTGAGACGACTGGCTGATGCACCACCTGTGCCCCCTACTGTGCCAACTTGCTGTGCTTTAGCCACCCGGCACTCCGCTCGTTCTTGTGAGCGTCGCTCCTCCGCCGTCCGTAGCAGCGTCCTTCACGAGCACCCTCCACAGAGGCCGATCTTGACACCGCTGGTACCAGTCATCGGCAAGTCCACTCGGCTCCACATCCTCATGTACCACATCAATCCATCTCTTCTCTAGCCCGTCCGCGCCCGTTTCACCACCTCGATCCGGCTGAATAAAAGCTGTTTAGGCATGTGGTGGCTGGGCATGCGGGCTACATGATCCAGCCAACGCAGCCTTGCCTGCCGGAGGAGCTCACCAATGGGACTTTGTCCACATCTTTCAACGATTTGTGAGCTCCTCACACAATCTAGCCTGGTTAAACCCAGGATGGATCGTACAGGCCAACATAAATGTTTCTAACCGGCGAAGATGTTCCATTAGGGGGGTCCACGTTTCGCAAGTGTAGAGAAGGGAGGGAATGACCGTGGCCGGGAAGACCTGAAGCTTTGTGCAGAGTTATAGACCAGGTAGCTTCCACAGAGCGTTACGCAACCAATTAAAATATAATGCCGCTCGACTGATTCCGAGTGAGACATCTGCTGTTAAAGCGGAGCCGGTCATGAGCACACTGCCAAGGAATGGGAAGCTGTCCACTCTCTCCACAACTGCCCTATCACCAATTTGGGGTTGTGGGTGTGGAGTGTTCGATGGTACAAAATACCCAGGCAGGTGCTTAGTTTTGGTGGGGCTGATGGTAACGCTCCACCTCTTGGTGGCAAACTCCAGGTTCAGCAGCAGAGCCTCCAACTCCTCCTCTGAGTGAGCAGCAATTACCCGGGCACCGATCAGCCTCCCATTGTATCCGTACCAAATGGAAATTCCTCTGGTACAGCTATTGAAGACTTCACGAACTACGTGGTCAAAATAGATGTTAAATAATGTGGGAGCCAGAGGACATCCCTGTCGCACCTCAAGGTGTACAGGGAATAGCTCTGACTCCAGGCCACGTAGTTTTACCCAGGCCCGCTCACCATCATGAAGGTCCTTAATGATCGTGAGCAGAGGGACAGGGACTCTGAAAGAATGAAGAACAACCCAGAGCCCAGGCCTACAAACAGACACACACAAAGGGACACAGACACAGAGAAAAACCATCATGCAGACTCCGGTCATCCGCACAGTGGCTTTTGGCTGGCTATAGAACAAAGACGGCCACCACATCACGTGTTTTCTGATGCAGTTTAACGGCCGTCTGGAACGCTGTCCCGATTTTAGGAAGCCACTGGAGCTATGCAATTTTAAATATAGTTTGAAAACCAATTTCTTTATAACTTCTTTTTGTGTTTAGTAGGCTGTCTTTCCCCAGCACCTCCGATTAGCACGGTTGGCAATGTACGGTACGAAAGAAGTTCCACAGATATATAGAGACAGACACAGAGATAGAGAGGGACATTCAAAAAAAGCAGTACAGAGAGAGACACGAAACATTAATACAGAGACATAGGGAGAGAGAGACAGACACAGAGAGATACACAGACTGAGATAGAAACAGATAGAGAGACAGACACATAAAGAGAGATGCAGAGAGAGGGACAGTGACATACAAGTGTTGTGGCCCTAACCACACGGAGACGTCTGCTGAAGGCAACGCGTTTATTGTAACAACTCTTAACACTATGTTAAGACTACTCTGTTAAACACTACTGTAACACCCGATAGCCTAAGGGAGAGATAGCCTCCCTTCTAGCGTGTCCTACACACGCCGGGCTACGCTACACGCCGGTGACTTGCGACGGCGGCTAGTGGAAGACTGGACCGACCGACCCACCCCGGGGTACGGGACTCGCCCTGGTCCGCTGCAACCCCGGCTCTAGCGAGAGCCTCGGGGAGAGTCCCCGGGTGCTGGTCCAGTCTTCAGGTCTTCAGATGTCCTCAAGCTTGAGTTGGCGAACACTCCCTGGCCCGTCCCGAGGGCCGGCCTTTTATCCCCAGGTCGAGGTCACCCCTCCCCTCATGAACCTTCTAGAAGGTCTTAGTAGGTCTTAATTCTTAAGGGGGTTTAGGAAGTGGTGGGGGTCCCCATCCCCCTCAGCCCCCAGCCCCTGGGGGGTCTGGGGTGTCAACCTCCGGTCACGGAGGGACGGGGGTTTGACCCCTACACACCTCGCTCTCTCTTGGCTGCCCCCTGTCGGCCCATGAGCGTGGTGGCAGGTCAGCTGCCTACAGCACCTTATTATGGCGCATTAAAGTAATGATCAGCCACAGCAGAAGTATTGGTCCTGCAGTCTTTCAGATCTGCCTTATGTTCACGAACACGGCCCGAGACATGTCGTTTGGTTTCCCCAATGTAACTGCTGTCGCAGATACAGCTTAGTTTGTAGACGCCGGGATATTGCATGTCAGGAAACTTGTCCTTCACAGATGGGATCAGGTCACGAATTGTATGTACTGTGTTAAATCGGGCCTGGATCTTGTGTTTGTTCATGATTTTATAAATATTTGTGGTTACCCCTGCTATGTATGGCAGGGTAATGGTTTTGATTGGATCCTCAGATGGCTCCTTCCTCACGCTTGGGGTGAAGGCTTTGCGGATTGTGTAGTCAGAATATCCATTCGCCTTGAGAGCTTGGTGTACGTGTTTTAGTTCACTGGTTAGGTGTTCATGGTCGGAGATACACTGAGCTCTATGTGTAGCGTTTTGATGAGGGAATTCTTCTGGGATGGATAGTGGTGGGAATCAGGTTTTAGGTTGGCGTCAGTATGGGTTACTTTCCTGTAGACAGAGTGGCTCATTGAGCCATCTGGTCTCTTTTTGATTAAGACATCCAAGAAAGTTAGCATGCCATCCTTTTCTACCTCCATGGTGAATTTGATGGCTGGGTGTATGGAATTGATGTGGTTTAGCCGGTCGGCCATGTGGCCAGATGACAAACGTGTCATCCACGTACCTCTTCCACAAGGACGGGCGTAGAGTGGATGCTTGGATGGCGTCCGTCTCAGATATTTCCATGAAAATATTGGCCACAACCGGAGATAAGGGAGAACCCATTGGGTGCCTTCAGTTTTTTTTGTAAAATGATGGTGAATATGTATGTCTTAGCATTTGCTATTAAAATATGAAATAATTATTCTTTATTAGATTAAATCATTATTTTTTATTAATTATTAAATAATGTGGGAGCTGGAGAACATCCCTGTTGCACATACAGAGGGAAAAAAGTATTTGATCCCCTGCTTATTTTGTAAGTTTGCCCACTGACAAATAAATGAGTCGCCTTGGGTTTTCCTTCAAAGTGAAATTGAAATGCTATTTGATCAAAAAGGCCCACGTGAATTTGAGTGGGAAAAATGTTATACATCACGAACGGGTTAAACACGGTAAAATGTTTGACACCAGCAGCTCACAGGCAAGAGGCAAATTGACCTCTTGCAAAGGGGCTCATTAACAATTTTATACTTGGCGCCATCGCACAGGCTGAGTGGCTGCTTGCTGAGTGTTACGTCACGTATGCATGCCCTGTAAACGTGAAGATACAAACTACCGATAAATAAAGGTGAGACCCTATCCATGAAATAATTAATAATCCTGTGCTGCAAAAAAGTGACGTTATTTTTCAACTCGCCGTCATAACACTTTACGGCCAGTCCCCGCTTCACGAACAGGCTGCGTGCCTGAGGCCCGTTCATTGATCCAACTCATTTGTAAGTTGACACTCAGTGGACGAAAGCCCCACTTATGACAACACGGAGATAACACATTCCGTGAGAAAAAAACTTTCAGTAACAGCTTGAAAACGCCGACTCGCACTGGTGAAACGAACCACCCAACTCTTTGGTTTGGCTGAGCCAGCTGTAATGAGTCCTAACATCACCGCTGAGAGTGTGTGTTGAGTGTACGTGTGAGCATGTGTATAAAGTTAGGGAAAAAAGTATGTGATCCCCTGCTGATTTTGTACGTTTGCCCACTGACAAAGAAATGATCAGTCTATAATTTTAATGGTAGGTTTATTTGAACAGTGAGAGACAGAATAACAACAAAAAAATCCAGAAAAACGCATGTCAAAAATGTTATAAATTTATTTGCATTTTAATGAGGGAAATAAGCATTTGAGCCCTCTGCAAAACATGACTTGGTGGCAAAACCCTTGTTGGCAATCACAGAGGTCAGACGTTTCTTGTAGTTGGCCACCAGGTTTGCACACATTTTATATCAAGGCCACAGTATCGTTAATGAGTGTGAGTTAATTTTTCTTCTCAAGAGGCAAAGTATCACCGGGACCTCGTGAAGAATGGCACTTTGGCAAGTGGTCCGTGGCCATATGTTCACCGCGTGCTGATTTCCTATTCGCCTTACTGCAGGAACTCGTGAACACGGACACCACGGTTGTGGACACTTCCAGCAAGCCACGGCTAGCTGATTGGAAGTTCGGCCACGAATCGGTAGGGAGTGACTTGCATATGCAAACACATACAGAACTGTAAAAAAGACAAAGATCCCCTATAGAGCCTAGAAAGACTTTTGGAGCAAGTGCTGTTAGCAAGCATCTTTGAAGGTCGTAATTGTGGCACACAAGGGGGTAGGTGGCCAACACTTCGCCGGGCCGCCTTTGTCTTCCCAATGGCAATGTTTACACATTCTAGATTTAAAGCTTTCGTGACTGCTAGGATCCATACTCTTTGGTTCTATTGGGTAAAGTCACGTAGGTGAAAATAAAATAAAAAATCACGACGTTTCGTGATTTTTTTGTTATTTTATTTTCACCTACGTGACTTTACCCAATAGAACCAAAGAGAATGTTTACACACTTCACAAAGTACTCATTTGAGGCTCATTCGACTTTAGGGAAGCCCCAGGACCCATTCAGATAATCGTCACTGGTATTGTTCATAAGCAGCCCTAGAAGTCGGGTCACCGGGTTCATAGAGCAGCGCGTTATCCGCTACACTACTGCTCCGCACGTACATACACACATGTACAAATACCAACAAGCGTACACACACATGCAATGACAGCCATGTTAACGTGTTCGTTGTAAAGCCCAGAGCATGGGTTTAGGATGTGCGAGCGAATCGCTCGTTTGCCTCGGGCGTTCTCGACGAGCTGATGTTCATGGCAGTCTCCTTCACAGGTCTCCCAGCCCCGGGGGGGAGATACTTCCCCAATGTATGATAATCAACAGCCACCGGGGTTCGTGCAGCAGAAAGACGGTCACAGGTGAGACGCACGCACGCATACACACAAACGAACGCACGGTCACGAGAGCATCGCCGTTCACACCCGGCGCCACATCCCGTCCAGGCACGGACACGGACCTCTTTCTGTCTCACCCACGCGCCGTGCCCCCCTGCGCTGACTCAGCTTGCGTGTGCCAGGTGGGAAAGATGGGAGGGGCGGGTACCAACGGACTGCGCGGCTTAACGCTCGTTTTCTTCCGCAGGTTTATCAACGTTGCGCCTTGCAACGAGCGTCCGCCCCACCCCGACCCCACCGCCTGCGAGATGGGAGATTGAGTGTGCTGCTGGCTCGGCACCTCCTGTGAACACGGTTCTTCCGCTGGGGACCTCTGGGAGATGGCTCCTCATCCTCCTCTGTGGACTGTTCTCAACATGGACGCTCAGGAGAGGAAAATCTCTCCAATCCGGACGGATGTTTGGGATAGCCTCTCTTTTGATAGTGCATGAATTACTAACTCGTAGGCTTTTGCGACCAATATCCATAATATAGGTTTTTTTGCGTTAGATCACGTAAATATAAATCTGTCGTTAAACCTGCCACCACCCGACAAAGGTTTATCACGTAAACAGAACATGGCAATTTGTTACTAGTACAGCACACCAGTGTGTTGGAGAGCAAATCTACAACATTTACAATCCGAGTACGACGTTTCAGCAGTTATTACAACTAGGTTCATCATCATGAAGCTACCACCTGTTTTGTTGATGACGTCACTTGTAAGCGCTTATTGTGCGAAGGGGGATTAATGAATGCATATACATTTTAATGGGTATCTAGTGCGCGTTGCGTTATATATGGTAATAATCAGCGTACATTATGCGTGCACATGTATGCACATTGTTCTTGAACCGCTTGTAGTTTGCGAGCAATCAATGAGTACCTGTTATTGTCTTTGTACAGGTAATCCCCATTTATGTATGGTGACCTGTATGGGCATGTATTTAAACAATGTATTATCTGATTATTCACTTCGTAGCAGCACTAAGCCTGTAGTTATCGGAATGGTTACAATTATTTTTTATCAATTCCGATAGATTCTTTCATTACTCTGGACCGGTAGTAACTAGTTTTGCACAGACCTTCGAAATTATCAGAATCACTTGAGTGTCATTGTTGGCATGCGTATTCTGCCACTGCTGACAGTTGTATTTGGGAATATTTTATATTGATTTGGTGTTCTTTGGATCATACTGATCATTCGTCATGTCTGCCCAATATAGCATTTGCCACAAGTGCAATTAATCTGTTGCACACCTGCTGGTGATAGCTTCGGTAATACATACTCTTTGGTTCTTTCGGTAAAGTCACGTAGTTAGAAATAAAATGAAACAAATCACGACGTTTCGGGCGCAACACAAGTGTCCGTCATCAGGTGGGACAACCACAGCAAGAAAAAATTTGCTGAAGTGGGCGGGAGAGCTGCCGTGGCAAGCGGTTATATAGGTAATAAAGAGGGAGGAGCAAGGGGGGAGAGAGAGAGGGGGGGTGGTGTGAAGTAGGGGGAGGGGGGTGCTGCGTGAGCGCTCTGGGTAGAGAGAACGTGAGGCAGGGGGAGGAAGTGGGCGGGGCTGGAAGTGGGAGGCTGTGAAAGCCAGGAAAGCTGAGGCTGCGGGGAGAAATTAAGTAGGAAAAATAGGCTAGTACCCAGCAGATATGATGGAAATAACCATAAACAGTTAAGGTTTTACCTGGTTAATAACATCATTCCAATGATTGCTCAATTTGTTTCCATCTTTTCAGTTGAAGTTATGTCTGTTTATATATCTGGATGGATTCATGAACAAACCTTTAATAGTACCCGGAAGGTTTTGCACAGTACCTTGGTCTTGGAAAAAACAATATCATGCGAGCCCACAACAGTATAACAATGGTAAGCCACGGCAGAGGTATTGGTTGTGCCATGATTCAGATCTGCCTTGTGTTCGCGAACACGGTCCGAGACATGTCGTTTCGTTTCCCCAATGTAACCGCTACCGCAGGTACAACTTAGTTTGTAAACGCTAGGATATTGCATGTCAGGAATGACATCCTTCACAGATGGGATTAGATCACGGATTTTGTGTACTGTATTGAATCGGACTTGGATCTTGTGTTTGTTTAAGATTTTGAAAATCTTTTTGGTAACACCTACTATGTATGGTAACGTGATGGTTTTAATCGGCTTCTCAGGGGGTTGTTTCTCCATGGTTGGAGAAACAGCTTTGTGAATAATGCGGTCCGAGCACCCATTCATCTTGGGGGCCTGGTGTACGTGTTTCAGTTCACTGGCTAGGTGGTGTTGGTCGGAAATGCAGTGGGCCCCATGGTGTAGTGTTTTGACGAGGGAATAATTCTGTGCCGGATGATAGTGGGAATCAGGTTTCAAATAGGAATCTGTGTGGGTGGCTTTCCTGTAGATAGTGTCCCAACGAGCCGTCAGGTCTCTTCTCAAACAAAACATCCAGGAATGGTAGCTTACCATCCTTCTCCACTTCCATGGTGAATTTGATGGATGGGTGTATGGAATTGATGTGGTTGAGAAATTGGTTCAATGCTGGCAGGCCATGTGGCCAAATGACGAGTGTAATCTACATATCTCTTCCACAAGGAAGGCCATAGGGTGGATGTCTGGATGGTATCTGTTTCAAATTTATCCATGAAAACATTCGCTATCACTGGTGATAAGGGGGAACCCATGGGGGTACCTTCATTTTTTGTAGAAAGTACCACTCCAGGTGAAGTGAGTGTTGGTAAGGCAGGGCCTAACCAGAGTAGATACATCAGGATTCAGTTCATGTTGGACTAAGTCTTCAATTATTGCTAAGGTGTCAGGTACAGGAACCTTGGTGAACAGAGAAACTACATCAAAGCTGACGAGCAAATTATCTGCGGACAGTGAAATGCCCTTGATTAGAGAGACCAAGTGAGTTGAGTTATGTACTGCTGAGGTAGTCTTGCCCGTGAAAGGAAGCAAGGTATCAGACAGAAAACGGGCCAGTTTGTAGGTAGGTGAATTGATAGTGGGGCCGAAGTGGAGTACCTTCTTTATGGATTTTTGGAAGACCATAGAATATTGGTGGTCTAGTAGCAGGTTTTAGGGAGAGCCGTTTGAATGGCTCGATTAGAGAAGTCGAACTGGTAATGATATTGTTGGTTTTTGTAGCCAGGTGGTTGGTGAGATCTTTGTTGATTTTTGTGTAAAGCCATTATTAAGAAGGTCCTGGATTTTGTTGTTGTATGTGGTTTTATCCATGATGACAGTAGCATTGCCCTTGTCGACTGAGAGGTTGACTATGTCATCTCTCTTTTTTCAATTTGCCGAGTTCAGAGCGCTCGTCTTTGCTGATGTTACTAATGGGTTTCTGAGTATTTTTAAGGACGGTGGCAATTTCAGATCTTGCCACGTTTGTCGGGATGTGTCCCAAGCCTCTGAGGTCTACATCTACCCTGGCATTAATATCATCCACTGGGATGTGTTTGGGGTGACAGCAAAATTCAGCCTTCTAGCTAGTTCCGATTTTAGGCTATCGGAGATTGTGCTGCTACTCTGATAACAGTCTTGTTACCATCTAGCTTTTTAATGTGTGGATCTGGTTTCTTTTTTGACAAGTTATTGAATTTAGCAATAAGGTTAACCTTTCATTTGCAGGACATTGTTGTGGCAGAAGAAGCAGTCATGTTATCTACAAGGTTCCAATCAAATTCGGACATTTGATTTGTTAATGTTAAGTGTGATTGTAGTAGACATTTGTCTAAATTATCAAGTTCAAGACGGAGTATTCTTATCCTATTCTTAGTTTTTTTCGGTAAAGTCACGTTGAAGAGAAACAACAAAATAACAAAATATATATAAAACAATAAAAAAAAATTCTCACGACGTTTCGACCATCGTGAGAATTTTTTTATTGTTTTATATATATTTTGTTATTTTGTTGTTTCTCTTCAACGTGACTTTACCGAAAAAAAACTAAGAATATGAATTACTGCAGTCACGAAAGCTTTAAATCAAAATTTATTCTTATCCTCTCTGAGATTAGAGAAAGGCTAGCTCTGAATAAGATCCGTTTGGCGTTAGGAGAAGTGACAGAAGCAAACGTGAGTGTAAATGTGGTCGGTAATACCTTGTTGTCACGGCATCTCTTCAGAAAGGTGAGAGACTTGATCATGTGAGCCTTCTTGTCTCGTAGTCTGTTAAAAGCTCTAACACGTGTGAAAACCCTCCCTGTAGAGGTGGTTAAATCTTGATTTGAAGCTTTCGTGACTGCAGGAATCCATACTCTTACACTCACATCTGCTTCTGTCACTTCTCTTAACGCCAAACGGATCTTATATTCACCATCTTGAGAGGCGGAGGGGCACAAGGGTTGTCGTAGAGGAGGCCATCATCATCCGTATCAATGGGCGTGGAGTCCGTCAACATGTCAGACTCGGACTGTGGCAGGTAGCCACTGCTTCCTCCGCTGCTGGCGCCGCTGCTGCTGTTGCTTTTGTAGATGCTGCGACCGCTGCCGAGGCACATGCTGATGCTGGCGAGGCTCGTTCTCACACTGTTGCTGTTTCTCTCGAAGAGCAGCACGTCCGCAGTGTGGACGGGGAGGAAGCTCATCGCCTCATCCACGAGCTCGATCAGCTTATCCCGGTCTATCCCTCGCGGGGCGGTTGTTTCTGCGACAGAAGGACCCCCCCCCTCGTGACTCACGCGCACTCGCAGCGCCCGAGAAGGTGGCATCGCAGAAACACTTTCAAAGCCGTTTGGACGAGAGCCTCTGTCCGCATTAAAGGCACTGCTTCAACACGTTTTACCTTTAAGGGTGCCACGGTACTGAGATGTTAACTATCTCACCTGGTATACAGGTGGTGAAGAGTTCGATCCCAACCCTGACGCCTGTTGTATATTGGGAATTTGCACGTCTCTCTCCCTGTGGTCACGTATATTTTTCTCACGGTCCTCTGGTTTTTCCCTCCACATTTAGAATCAACATCACGTGTTTAGCAACACCTTAGACTGGTCGAGTCTCTCACCGCGTGTCCCCCCATCCCTCGCAGCCGTGCCGAGCTCAATCCCCTCACCTGGTCTCCTACCCTTGACAGACAAGTCCATCGTGCACCTCCATCTGTTGAGCGCCTTCTTGATATCTCCTTCTTCCACGCTCCCCTTCTTCTTCTCCTTCTCCTCCTCCTTCCGCTTCTTGGCAGCATCGACCGCGGCGGCGTCCCGCCACAGCTGCTCCAGGACTTGGCGCGCCCTCACCTGGGTCTGGGCAAGCTTTCCTTGGGCCTTGAAGAGGGCTTTGTCCGCCGCCGACCGACGCGACCCCTTCCCACTAAAAACGCCGCAGCAGAACAGGCTGCTCTCCTCCTTCTCCAGCAGGCCGTCGTCGGGCGACAGGTTGTAACGCGTCGCGGTCGGAATGTGATCAATATCCACTTGTCTGCAAAGGCAGACGGAGCGTAATTTGGGGTCACAGATGCTGGCAGCCGTCGCGCCAACAGTCACGAGCTTCTGTCACTTTGCATTCACACTCGAGTCAAGTGAAATCAGAATCTTTATTAATATTGGAGGAATCCGATTAGGTATGAAGCTATTTTGGGGCCGTCCATAAATAATGTCACGCACAGAGGGGGGGGGAGGGGGGTCAGACATTTGTGACGATGTGTGACGAGGGGGGGTAAGAGAAATGTGACGTCACATCAAAATGCGCAACTTTAAATAAACTTAATTAAATATAATTGTTATAACAACACTAATTTTGATTAATTTTCATTATTAACTATTTGATTATTTAAATTGACTAAGGTCACCTTTTATTTATTCCATGAAGGAGCATTTTGCTTCTCCATGGGAGAATGGACAAACATACATTTAGAAAAAAATTTGAATGACTGTTATTAAACATTTTTATTCCAATGATTCGACCAGGGCTTTTCATTCTGTGGAATCCATGTGAATGTTTTAATTATACTCTCCATTTTGCTTCGTTCTACTACTAAGTTTCAAGTCTATTTTAAAGTTATAATTACTTTCATTTTTTTATAATTATAAGAGAATTTCAAGAAATATTCTGAACATCTGCAGTTTCATTTAGACGTTGAATATTTTCAAGTGAATTTTGTGCTAAATTTCAGCTTTCAAACGCCTCCTTTTTAATACATGTTTTCGCCTACAACATCAGAGTGCAGCGCCACATTAAATACGTGCAACAATGACAATAGTTTAAAGTGATTTGAAGCATGTTTTATTTTCAAAATGTAAATATGGTTGGGGGGGGGGGGCAGAGCCTTGTGACGTCATATTTGAGGGGGGTATGACTTTTTGTGACGCCGTGTGACGAGGGGTTGTGTGTTTCCCCTCTCTCGTGAATTTAGCTCTTCTGTGCCTGGTGGTGGCTGCTTGTGTTGCAACCGAAACGTCGTACGCTATTGTGTTATTTTATTATTTCTTATTAATACGTGACTTTACCGAAAAAAAACAAAGATTGAGGGGGAAGGGGGGTCAAAAATCGGCCAAAATCGCGTGACGTCATTTATGGACGGCCCCTTTTCACAGATGTCTAGTTGGGGATTGGTCAAAAAGTTACAACAATACAAAAACACGATAGGAGTGCAGAGTACAGGAAAGGTAAGCAAATCACTTCAAAAATATATACAGTAGAACCTCGGAGATCGAACGCACCAGAACTCGAACAAATCGGTGTTCGAACGATATTTAGTATTTCCCAACATTTTTTGCCCCGGAAACCGAACGAAATTCGGAGGTCGAACGGCCAATCGCGACTTGAAAGAACCTGTACGGCTGAGAAGCGTATGGCCAGCAGCGTGCATGACGCTTGCCCAGACAAACAGGACTCCCCTTCCAAACAATGACACCACCACCTCCTCCTCCTCCTCACCACCTTCCACTCAAGCCATCAACTCTCCTTACTACAGGTAAAGTGAAGTTCAATGTTCATTTATTTAATTTATTCCATATACTCATTCATTTATTCCATTTATTTATTGTGTTTCTTGTTTTTTTGGTATGATTTTATGCATGTAATTACTGTAAACTGCGTGTAAAAACTGCTTTATAATGAGAGATTTCTTGTGTCTGGAACCAATTAATGTCATTTACATTAATTCTGATGGGGAAAATTTATTCGGTGTTCGAACAAATCGGTGTTGGAATGGCCTTCTGGAACGAATTAAGTTCGATCTCCGGGGTACCACTGTACAAATGAAACTCAACTAGGTTCATGCTACCAGCTAAAGCCTACTGAGCTATTAGATTGTTTTCAGAAGCAAGATAGCCACAAATGATAGAGGGGGCCGTCGGGATGAGAGGGGATGTCGACAGGAGGTGTGAATGAAAGGGAGCAGGGGATGAGGAGGAGAGAGCAGCGGATGAGGAGGAGAGAGCAGCGGATTAGGAGAGAGCAACGGATGAGGAGAGAGCAGCGGATGAGGAGAGAGCAACGGATGAGGAGGAGAGAGCAACGGATGAGGAGGAGAGAGCAACGGATGAGGAGGAGTGAGCAGCTGATGAGGAGAGAGCAGCTGATGAGAAGAGAGCAACGGATGAGGAGGAGAGAGCAACGGATGAGGAGGAGAGAGCAGCGGATGAGGAGAGAGCAACGGATGAGGAGTGAGCAGCGGATGAGGAGGAGAGAGCAACGGATGAGGAGCAAAGAGCAGCGGATGATGAGGAGAGAGTTGTGTGTGAAGGAGGGATTGCCTGTCTCCGTGTGTTGGTGTGGAGTGTTCGCTCCCAATAGAAAATCAACTTGTGTCTACCTTCTGTGTCTATGTTGTGTCCCCGTGTGCCTACATTGTGTCTATGTGTCCGTGTCTCCCTTCTGTCCAAGTGTCTCCCTCACGGTTTGTATAAATGTTTGTCCCTATGAAAGCAACGACCGATCTGACGAAGACTCGGCCACAAGTACAGTCGGCGTGTGTAGTGTACAGGGCCGTCTCACTCACCCACTGCACACATGTCACAGCCGTCTTTGTCTCTCCCCAGTGCCGTCTCACACTCACCTCGGAGATGTTTCCATGCTTCGACCGTCGCGGCAGCAACTCGGCGAGAAGGTTCTTCACTGAAGCTGGGAGAGCGAGTCGAGTGAGAGGGTCTCAGAGAGAGGTGAGTCTCGGGGTGAGTCTCGGAGCGCACCTACTGTACCGGACGCCTCCACTGTAACATTACGATCGGGCGGCAGTTGGTCGTGACGTCACGCGACGGTGGGCGTGGCCTGTGTCTGTAGGGGGGAGGGGCGCGCGGGATAGGGGCGCGGGGGATTGGGGGGAGGGGCGTGAGGGGGATGGGGGGCGTGCGGGGCGGGGCTCTCCAACGGGCGATGCACCAAGCGCCCCCAACAGCGAGTTTGTGTTGTTGTTGTTCCATAACAATAACACGTGTTTGTGTTGTTGTTGTTCCATAACAATAACACGTGTTTGTGTTGTTGTTACTTAACAATAACACGTGTTTGTGTTGTTGTTCCAAATCAATAACACGTGTTTGTGTTGTTGCTCCATAACAATAACACGTGTTTGTGTTGTTGTTGTTCTATAACAATAACACGTGTTTGTGTTGTTGTTCCATAACAATAACACGTGTTTGTGTTGTTGTTGTTCTATAACAATAACACGTGTTTGTGTTGTTGTTGTACCGTAACAATAACACGTGTTTGTGTTGTTGTTCCATAACAATAACACGTGTTTGTGTTGTTGTTCCATAACAATAACACGTGTTTGTGTTGTTGTTGTTCCATAACAATAACACGTGGTTGTGTTGTTGTTGTTCCGTAACAATAACACGTGTTTGTGTTGTTGTTGTTCCATAACAATAACACGTGTTTGTGTTGTTGTTCTATAACAATAACACGTGTTTGTGTTGTTGTTGTTCCATAACAATAACACGTGTTTGTGTTGTTGTTGTTGTTGTTCCATAACAACAACACGTGTTTGTGTTGTTGTTCCATAACAATGACACGTGTGTGTTGTTGTTCCATAACAATAACACGTGTTTGTGTTGTTCCATAACAATAACACGTGTTTGTGTTGTTGTTCCATAACAATAACACGTGTTTGTGTTGTTGTTCCATAACAATAACACCTGTTTATGTTGTTGTTCCATAACAATAACACGTGTTTGTGTTGTTGTTCCATAACAATAACACGTGTTTGTGTTGTTCCATAACAATAACACGTGTTTGTGTTGTTGTTCCATAACATTAACACGTGTTTGTGTTATTGTTCTAGAACAATAACACGTGTTTGTGTTGTTGTTCCATAACAATAACAGCGTGTTTGTGTTGTTCCAGAACAATAACACGTGTTTGTGTTGTTGTTCCATAACAATAACAGCGTGTTTGTGTTGTTCCATAACAATAACACGTTTTTGTGTTGTTGTTCCATAACAATAACACGTGTTTGTGTTGTTGTTCCATAACAATAACACGTGTTTGTGTTATTGTTCCATAACAATAACACGTGTTTGTGTTGTTGTTGTTGTTGTTCCATAACAATGCACGTGTTTGTGTTGTTGTTCCATAACAATAACACGTGTTTGTGTTGTTGTTCCATAACAATAACACGTGTTTGTGTTGTTGTTCCATAACAATAACACGTGTTCGTGTTGTTGTTCCATAACAACAACACGTGTTTGTGTTGTTGTTCCATAACAATAAGACGTGTTTGTGTTGTTGTTCAATACCAATAACACGTGTTTGTGTTGTTCCATAACAATAACATGTGTTTGTGTTGTTGTTCCATAACAATAACACGTGTTTGTGTTGTTGTTCAGGCCACACGGGGTCATTGTTGACGAGTGGAGAGCCTCTTTGTTCATTGTTCTTATGCACGAAAAATGCATCAATAATATAAACTTTAATTGCACCATTACTATAAATTCCATAACATCAGAATCATAATCTTTATTGAGGCTGGAGGAATCCGATGAGCTATGAAGCTCTTCTTTACAGATGTCCAGTACGGGCGGGTCACATTTAATTGCGGTACTGCTATCAATACCAGCAGGAACCCGCGAAACTTCGGCGAGGATTTGGGCAGTCCTCGATTTACGAAGGGAACCTGTTCTAAAGACATACAAAGAGAAAGACAAAGATCCCCCGTGTAGCCTTGATAGACTGTCGGGGCAAGTGCTGTTAGTGAGCACCTATGAAGGCCGGCACGGCACACGAGTGGGTGGGTGGCCAGTACCACGCCCGGCCACCTTTGTCTCCCCAGTAGCGATGTTTACACACCACACCAGGTACTCATTTCAGGCTGAGTAGACCAAAGGGGAGGCCCAGGACGCATTCACATAATCCTCACTGGTGTTGGCCGTGAGCGAGAATCGAACTCGGGTCGCCGGCTTCGTAGTGCAGCGCGCTAACGACTACACTACCGCTCCCGACCCAACTTTCCTTTCACGTACACAAAAAAAGACAAAGATCCCCCTATAGCCTTAACAGACTGTTGGGGCAAGTGCTGTTAGCGAGCAGCACATCTGAAGGACCGAATGGCACACGAGGAGGTGGGTGGCCAGCACCACGCCCGGCCACCTTTGTCTCCCCAGTGGAGTTGTTTACACACCGCACCAGGTAGGCATTTCAGACTAAGTAGACCTAGGTGCTCGGGGATAATCGACACAGCTGTTAAGGGACATTCACATGCACACAGACTAAGATCCCTCACATAGCTTTAACAGACTATTGGGGCGAGTGCAGCTAGCGAGCAACAATGAAGGCCGACACGGCACACAAGAGGGTGGGTGGCCAGCACCACGGCGGACCGCCTTTGTCTCCCAAATGGCGATGTTTACTGGTACTCATTTTAGGCCGAGTCTTAAGTGCTAGTGTTCGTAAGTCAGGTGATCCTAAGTCGGGTGTTTGTAAGTGCAGGTGTTCGTAAGTCAGGTGTTCCTAAGTCGGGTGTTCGTAAGTCGAGGGCTTCCTGTAATTTTCATTTCACAGGTCCAGCTGATTTTAACCAGAAACCGATAACCTATGGCACTGGTAATGACCTATAACAACTGCATATAGCCTCTAAACTAGATTAAAGAAACATCTGTGGTTCATGTGGTGGATGGAGCTGAACAGGGCCAACTGGTGGAGGGGCGAGGCCAAGGGAAGGAGTGGGGACAGCCTCTGGAGAGAGAGGCAACAAGGGAGACACGTGTGTGAGTTATGGCACAGATTATGAATCGGCTCACATAAGCCGGTGTGTTTTCGCAGCATTAATTTGAGTAGTTCTCAACGTACAGAGTCGAAAGATAACTCATTTTGACCGTATTAATCCAGCTGGCTGTGGTATTAAATGTGAACTTTGTACGACGTATGAATTTTATCTCAGATTAAAAAATATATAATCCAGTGCGTGACACAGGTAGGGTGTTTGATGGCAATCTGAAACACCCACCATAATCATCCATGGGGGTCTTTGGAATTGCACATTGCCTATGTTATGACTCTTGACCGAGATAAAAAAAACAAGTCACGTGCTGCAGTGCAATGACTACTCAGCGACAATTCGTAAATAACAAACTGTGGGCTTAAAAGTCTTTATTTTTTAATATGCGACATTTGGTCAATTGCTCTTCTTCATAGCACGTGAAGCCAACACGTGCGTCAACAACATTGCCGCAGCACCCCCTGCTGGACTAAACACGCTACTGTGCCGCGGAGACTACGCATCAGACGGCCACAAGCGAGTGGTGTCAAGTGTGATCATGATGATTATTATGAGGCTTGTTTACCCAGGAAAGCCTCACTGCAGGCGCGACACGTCCATGTAGGCTATCTAGGCGGTCGTCTAGGGCGTAAAGTTAAGTGGGGTGCCAAATTCGAGGAAAAAATAATTTCTCAACATTTCTGACGATTGATTGGACAGACGGACGGACAACCCGAATAATTATGCCTCTTTAAAAAAAACATTAAACGTAAAATAGGGAAACATGTTTCCCAGTTTACCAAAAAACTCAGCCTCGATCTGCCCCTGGGGTTTGGGGGCGCCGATTGCTGGCAGCAGCGGGTCCAGGGCCGCCGCTGCCTCACTGAGTGAGCCTCGTGGCTCTTTTTCAGGAGGGTCCTGCCAGTTTTCACAGTAGGGGGTGGCTATGTATAATCTCAATTGAGTAATGTGTACTTTATATCAGAATCTATTACAGTACACTATACCATTTTGCGTGAAAACTCGGGCCCATTATCTTGAAGTTATCGGGGGTGGGGCGTCTTTGCTTATTAGCATCTTTAGTATCTTGCGATTCACCAACGTTGGTTGGGGCAAGCCTGACTGCTGATGAAACACTGAATGTCGAAGCGAGCTCATAGCTTGCTTTGTCTTGAACTAATGCTGCTGACATTATGCACTCCAAGAAGACCGTGGGGCTGATGGGATGAAAAAAAAACATTGATTTTGTTGTTTTATGCGATGAGACAGATACAGGATTGTGAATGAGATGTGTTTTTTGTCAATGTTATGGACGAATTGGTGAGAATGGTGTGAGTTTGTGTGCGAGTGAATGGCAAATGCCTGGAGTGTGTGGTTCGGATCAGGTGAGTGGTGCGTGGTGGTTGATGAGTATATCATGTGTGTGCCAGGTGAATGATATCTGGTGAGTGGTGAGTGCCCGCATGGTGAGCGGTGTCTGGCGATGGGTCAGTTGTCATGCATGTGAGGTCACGCCACCTTATCCGTCCTCTAGTGTGTGTGTCAATAATAACAATGTCAACTTTCAACACGCCGCTACCGCACATCACTCGCTCGCTCTCGCAGAGAGGACAACGACTCGGAGGCGCGAGGAGGAACCACAGATGAGCGGGAAGGCAGCAGCCAGGCGACGAGTCGGCGCCAACGATTGCCCAAGCTCTGCGGTCCTCTACAGTTTGAGGTGGTGTGGGCCAATTAATGTGGGAGGAAACCGGAGCACCTGAATAATAACTGAACAAAAAATGTTTACCAGGTAAAGCTCACTCAGCTATACAGCTCTTTTTTTCAGAAACGACCTGGCCCCAAATGATAGCTCAACGAAGTGGCTTATCTTGTGGAAATTTACAGCAGTCAAATACTCAAAACGCTCGTTTATTCTGTATCTGAGGAGGTAAAAACCGGAGGACCCGGAAAAAATCCACGCGACCACGGGGAGACAGAGACATGCAAACTCCAAATATACAGCAGGCGTCTGGGTCGGGATCGAATCCACGACCTCCTGTATACCAGGCGAGGTAGTTAACATCTCACCACCGTGGCGCCCATGCGTGCGAAGGGGGCAAACACTCAATCCCATGCAGTCCACATTCTTCCTTTACCGCCTTCTCCTGGCATAGCCAGGGCATGGCACCTCCTCGACGCCCACGGCAAGGGAGTTTCACAACATCGAAGTGCGGTGATCCACCGACCCTCGCTGCTGCCTCCACAGTGCAGCAGCCACGTGCAGCAGCGTAGCCGCCAGCGCCCAGCTTTTGTTGTGTGCGTGTGTACACAGGAGACGGTAAAAACAACGAGGCATGAGCAAATAATGAATGAAATTGTAAATTCTGAATCGTGACGAATTAAATTACTGGTGGGCTACATAACTGCGTCCCTACGAACCATCCGCCAGCAGCAGGTCTAGCGATGTTTTCAATCTCAGATCATTCTAATGTTTTACATTTCCATGCATTCGTTTTCCTTCTTTAGCAGGCAGATGCTGATACATTAATCCAGAGATCATATGTCATTGTCTTCCTCGTCCAAGTATTAGCTGCACTCATTTGATATGTCGGTGTGTCTGAGCCATACGTCACAGCAGGTGATAGATGCACCGTTTGTAAACGTGATTCCCTGAGCACATAGCTATGTTGCTATTCAGAAGCACTCCGATCTAACGTCGTCCCCCTCTCTTATGTCCTGTCTATGATCCCGGTCTGCCTTCAATAACTCCCCTAGGTATACATGTGAGCATTGCATTTTCCAGTTCCTCCAACATTGATTCCATAGGGAGCTACAATGATTTTACAATATTTTTCCACAGAAACTTTCACCACTCTACATGGTCAATAGGCCTGATTAGGTACGTCTTCATGCTAAGTATATGGTACAGTATTTACATGAGATGGATGTGACTGTGATTCTCGTATTGTAAAATGTTTTAGCACTAAAGTCAGGACTGGACTTAGGAATGGACGATCGGGGCGGCTACTCATGGGCGAAAATTTGTAATGGAAAATAATGAGGGCATCGCCATGGGCAAATAGGGGTAGAGAGAAAGACACGGAGAGAAACACACACGGCGAAAGATAGACACAGAAATAGGCAGTGAGAGACGTAGGAGTACAGTGAGAAACAAACACAACAACAATAACCGACATTAGCCACTAAGTGGCGGTGACGTCACTACGACGCTTGTGCCAGGCTATGTGCACCTTGAGGCCACGTGAAGTGTCGAACGCCCGCTGGCAGGAGGTCACGGGGCAGTCCCAGGTGCCACGGGTCGACTGACTGAGATGACTGAGATGACTGGCTGATGCACCACCTGTGCCCCCTACTGTGCCAACCTGCTGTGCTTTAGTCACCCGGCGCTCCGCTCGTTGTTGTGAGCGTCGCTCCTCCGCCCTCTGTTGTTTTTGGAGGGCGACTGCCTCCAACTGCACAGTAGCTTCCTTCACGAGCCTACTCCACAGAGGCCGATCTAGACAATGCTGGTACCAGTCATCGGCAAGTCCACTCAGCTCCATATCCTCCTGTACCACATCACTTCATCTCTTCTCTAGCTCGTGCCGCGCCCGTTTAGCCCCCTCGATCCGACCGAACAAAAGCTATTTGGGCATGCGGTGATTGGGCATGCGGGCTACATGGCCCAGCCAACGCAGCCTTGCCTGCCGGAGGAGCTCACCGATGGGTGGCACACTCCAGTTTCAGCAGCGCCTCCAATTCCTCCTCTGAGTGAGCCGCAATTACCAGGTCGTCGGCATACATAACGTGGTTGACCATTAGGGAGCCATCCCTTGACCGCATCCGGGCATCAATGAGCCTCCCATTGTATCTGTACCAGATGGAAATTCCTACGGTACAGCTACCGAAGGCTTCACGATCTACGTGGTCGAAATAGATGTTAAATAATGTTGGAGCCAGATGACATCCCTGTCGCACCCCAAGGTGTACAGGGAATGGCTCTGACTCCCGGCCACGTAGTTTTACCTGGGCCTGCTCACCATCATGAAGGTCTTTAATGAGCGTGAGCAGAGGGTCAGTGACTCCGAAAGCACGAAGAACAACCCAGAGCCCAGGCCTACTGATGGTATCATGGGCCTTGACCAGCTCAATAAAGCAGAGATGTAGGTCTTGTTGGAATTCCCTACACCTCTGCTGTAGCAGATGGACAGAAAATATGGCATCTGTACAGGACCGCCCTTTCCTGAAACCGCATTGGGGCTCCACAAGCCTCTCCTCAGCGTGCCTAGCAACGATGTGGAAAAATCCTTGCCAGTACTTTTCCCGGCACACTGAGGAGTGAGATGCCCCTGTAGTTGTTACAGTCTGCGTGGTCCCCCTTCTTAAAGAGGGGGACCACCAGGGGATTCTTCCAATCCTGTGGAACCCGTCCAGTGGCCCAGACTGTTGTTATGATATCATGTAGGGCAGTCTGCGCACAAACGCCACCCTCCCTCAGCATTTTGCTTGGGAGAGCATCTCTGCCCGTTGCATTTCCTGGTCTCATACTCTGGATCGCCTTCAGTACCTCCTCAACGGATGGCACCTCAGCCAGCCACTCACAGTGGGTGACTTCTTCCTCCAATATTTGAGGCACCGCAGCCTCAGCAGGGTCATCCCCACTTTATCCCATGATGTTTTCCAGGCTGAGGGATTCCCCCTCCTCCAGGACCTCACATAAATTCTCAGAAAATCTGCGAACCTGTTTCTTTCCCCTAATGATGGTAATAGGTGTGGTGCTGCAGGTTACTTTTTGATGGAGTTAAATAGGGATTTGTGATCGCGGGCCATTGAGGCAGACTCCATTTCCTCAGCAACCCGCGACCACCACCCATCCTTGCAGCGCCTCACGGCTCTCTAAATCTCTGAGCGAAGGCTGCGGTAAGCCTCCTCATTACTCATTGGTTTTTTCGGTAAAGTCACGTATGTAGAAATACCATACAATTATATTAAAATAAATCAATCACGACGTTTCGACCGCAACACAAGCGATCTTCATCAGGTGTAAAAAACAAATAGCACATAGGGTGACATCAACGCAACACATAGAGAGCGTTAAACTGCACGGAGGTAAATACAACAGGAAGATAAGAGACGAGAATTCAACAAACCTAAGAAAAAATTACGTGATGCAAAACCAGTCGACCAACGACACAGTTAGACACTTGCCTGGCGGACCACGAATTTCAGAAGAGTGCTAAATTTCGTGTTCATCCTCTGGGTTGAACATACCAGCATAGACAGAGTGAACAAATACGAGGTACAAGGTAGCAGAAATACATATACAGGGACACCAAGCGGCAAGAAGAGGAAAGACGGACAGAGAAGCAAGAAAAAGGGCCAGAGGGATGAACAGACAGAGGCTTAAAATAAGCAGCAGAGGTGGGGGGAGGGGCCGAAGAGAGCAAGGGGGCACGGCAGCAGAAGAGGGGGGAGGGGTAGGAGAAAGCAAGGGGCGCAATAGGTTTAGGACAGAATTGTAAAGGTAACTTCCCCGTAGAAGTGTGTTAATAAAGAATTAAAGCTTTCGTGACTGCATACATTACTCATTGTTTTTTCGGTAAAGTCACGTATGTAGAAATACCATAAAATTATATTAAAATAAATCAATCACGACCTTTCGACCGGTGTCCCTGTATATGTATTTCTGCTACCTTGTACCTCGTATTTGTTCACTCTGTCTATGCTGGTATGTTCAACCCAGAAGATGAACACGAAATTTAGCACTCTTCTGAAATTCGTAGTCCGCCAGGCAAGTGTCTAACTGTGTTGTTGGCCGACTGGTTTTGCATCACGTAATTTTTTCTTAGGTTTGTTGAATTCTCGTCTCTCATCTTCTTGTTGTATTTACCTCCGTGCAGTTTAGCGCTCTCTATGTGTTGCGTTGATGTCACCCTATGTGCTCCCTCGCTATTTGTTTTGCGTTATGGTCGAAACGTCGTGATTGATTTATTTTAATATAATTTTATGGTATTTCTACATACGTGACTTTACCGAATAAACCAATGAGTAATTTTATGCAGTCACGAAAGCTTTAATTACCTTATCATACTCACCCAGAACTCACACAGCCAGCCCCGAACACTCACCCAGAACTCACACAGCCAGCCCCAAACACTCATCCAGAACTGACACAGCCAGCCCCAAACACTCACCCAGAACTCACACAGCCAGCCCCAAACACTCACCCAGAATTCACACAGCCAGCCCCAAACACTCACCCAGAACTCACAAACCCAGTCCCAAACACTCACGCAGAACTCACACAGCCAGCCCCAAACACTCACCCAGAACTCACACACCCAACCCCAAACACTCACCCAGAACTCACACAGCCAGCCTCAAACACTCACCCAGAACTCACACAGCCAGCCCCAAACATTCACCCAGAACTCACACAGCCAGCCCCAAACACTCACCCAGAACTCACACAGCCAGCCCCAAACACTCACCCAGAACTCACACAGCCAGCCCCAAACACTCACCCAGAACTCACACAGCCAGCCCCAAACACTCACCCAGAACTCACAAACCCAGCCCCAAACACTCACCCAGAACTCACACAGCCAGCCCCAAACACTCACCCAGAACTTACATGGCCAGCCCCAAACACTCACCCAGAACTCACACAGCCAGCCCCAAACACTCACCCAGAACTCACACAGCCAGCCCCAAACACTCACCCAGAACTCACACAGCCAGCCCCAAACACTCACCCAGAACTCACACAGCCAGCCCCAAACACTCACCCAGAACTCACACAGCCAGCCCCAAACACTCACCCAGAACTCACACAGCCAGCCCCAAACACTCACCCAGAACTCACAAACCCAGCCCCAAACACTCACCCAGAACTCACACAGCCAGCTCAAAACCCTCACCCAGAACTCACACGGCCAGCCCCAATCCCTCACCCAGCACTCACACAGCCAGCCCCAAACACTCACCCAGAACTCACACAGCCAGCACCAAACACTCACCCAGCACTCACACAGCCAGCACCAAACACTCACCCAGAACTCACACAGCCAGCCCTATACCCAACCAGCAATCAAACAGCCAGATAGTCTAATCAACAGCCCATACACCCAACTCGAATACCAACACCCATCCTCGTACACACCTTGCACACGCCCAAACTCCTATACCCAGCCTCATACACACCCAGCAACATACGATCAGCCTCTTTGTCCAGTCCACATACCACCGACCACTCGCCCCAACACTCAGCGCACACAGCCTACCCAAACCTCCACATTATCTCAGAGCCAGGATCTCCAATACACAACCTTCTTCCTGCCCACATCCCACATTCCATGTATCTGGCCCCAGACTCTTCTTCCCCCTACATGCACATCACGCCCTACACCTTGTAGGAGGCAGAAGCAAAGTTAGTTTGTGGTGCAATGCAGGGCCCTTGTGGTGCGGGACACCACGCTACACAGTCCACAAGCTGCAAGACGGATTTATAGCGCTGATATGGCTCCCCACGTGAGTAATTAACGGTGTGCATATTCATGAATTATTCTTATTTTAGGGAGAGTGGTGGGAGGAAGTGCATGGATTGATGAGAAATGCTAGATTCCTTTGCCTATGCCCAAATCCATGGCATTCATTATACAGACAAAGATCACCCGTATAGCCTTAACAGACTGTTGGGGCAAGTGCTATAAGCAAGCACCTATGAAGGCCTGAACGGCACACGAGGGATGGGTGGCCAGCACCACGCCCGGCCGTCTTCATCTCCCCAGTGACGATATTTACACATCGCACCAGGTAATAATTTGAGGCTGAGTCAACCTCAGCCTCATCACATCTCACAACTTCCCTCCTTCCATATGCCCTGCCTTCCACACCGCGTTTGCTTCCCCGGGCAACAGGAAACTTCTCATCGCCCCTACCTTGTCTCTCACTCTATACAGGTATCCCTCGATTTACGAACGTTCAGTTTCACTAAATTTCGCGGATTCTTAAGTACTAGTGTTCGTTAGTCGGGTGTTCCTAAGTCGGGTATTCTTAAGTCGGGTGTTCGTAAGTCGAGGGCTTCCTGTAATTTTCATTTTACAGGTCCAGCTGATTTTAACCAGAAACCGATAACCTATGGCATTGGTAATGACCTATAACAACTGCATATAGCCTCTAAACTAGATTAAAGAAACATCTGTGGTTCATGTGGTGGATGGAGCTGAACAGGGCCAACTGGTGGAGGGGCGAGGCC